TGAAAGTGAAATTGTTAGTCGCTCAGTCATTTCAAACTCTTTGCAACCCTATGGACTGTAGCCTGCCAGACTCCCCTGTCCATGGGATTCTCCAGGCAAGGATACTGGAGTGGATTGCCATTTCCTACTCCAGCAGATCTTCCCGTCCCAGGGATCAAACCAGGACCCACACGGCTGGTGGATTATTTACCGTCTGAGCCGTGAGGCAAGTCATTTTACAATTTTATGCTTATCTATGAAATCATCATAGATGAAAATGTGATTCTAAGGTTGATACTTTAAAATTCCATTTGCAATGATAAATACAAGAAACAAGGGAATTTTAACAACCACTGAATTTGAAATTCTAAAACCAGAGACATAATATGAGAAATATTCAGGAGATGGCATGAGTAGACTATAGAGTTTTAGGTCTCCTCCTGCAGAAGAGGCTACATAATTTCCAAATTATATAGCATCATATAATTAAAAACTTAAGAAAAAGTAATTACATATTTAAAAATTGTTTAGAGCTTCTGAAAATGAACACTTTCCATGAAATAACTATATTCTATACCCATATAGTGTAACGGGAATAGATTATGTTGTTAAAGAAGTGGAAAAAAATATTTGTAAACAAGATGCTTAATCTCAATTCTAAAAAGAAAAACTGAGTTAAGCTCCATTACTCTTGATTGTCCAGAAAGATCTAAGATTATGGTTTAAAGAAGTTGAAAGAAAACTGAGTGCTCAATTAGGAGAGGAGAGAAACAAGAGGAAGATCAAGGCATCCAAGTGAGAGTAACCTAAATCTTGCTTGCTCCCTAAGGAAATATCTAGATGTCTGGGGACACACCTATCATGGTACTTTAGCATATGTGGTATTTCTGGATGAGAAACATTCTTTAGGTGAACAGTACTCAATCAAGATACTATTTTGGTCATAAACTATACCTGTTAGACTTTTCCAAGCTGGGACACTAGAGATTTCATTTTACAGTATTGGTTGCTCAAGTAGGCTATAGATTGGTTGAAAAAACTATTGCTCTACTTTCTAGCTCTGTGGGCATGAGTAGGTTACTTGGACAATCTGAACACCAGTTTTCCCACCTGTGAAAGAGTATGGATAACGGTGTCTAACAAAAAAGGTTACTATGACAATTAAATAAATGAAACTATGAGTAGTGCTTTGAACATTGTCAAGCACCTAGCAGGCATGCCAAAGATGTGTGTTGTTATTTTTTGGCAATGAACCATATTCATATAACAGTATTTAATGAAGCTGAGAAGCATACAAAAAACTGGCCTCAGTCATTATGGTCTTCTTTGAATTTTGCAACTTTTTCTAGACCTTTCTTGCTTCAGGGCCCTTGCATATGTTGTTTTATCTGCTGAGAATACTCCTTCCCCCTCTTTACTATAATAATTTCTTCTCAAACTTCAGCTCTGTCCTTCTGCAGTGAAGTCTAACCTGATTCATCCTTCCACACCTGATCCTTGGAGTCACTCTTGATCATTCTGTAAAAGGCAGCATGCTATGTGTCCTTCTTTCATATCCTAATCACAAGGGGGTATGTCTGTGTGTGTGTGCGTGTATGTGTATTTAGTTCTCCTTAGGAATTCTACCATTTTCTAAGTTTCATAAAGACATAGACCATGTCTATTTTGTCCATTAAACACAGCGATTAGCATAAACCCTAGTATATCATTATCATTAAGTACATATTTGTTAAATACAAAAAGAATCATAAAAAATAAAGTAAATAAAATCCAAGAGAAATGGAGCTAATTATGACAAGCACATTGATAAGGTCAAATTTTAGAATACTTCACTGTTTTCTTCTTTTTGACACATAATAAAAATGTCAAACAAGAAGCATTAAGTGAACTTCTCTTTGTGAAGATATCATTATTTACAACATAGCCAGAATCTCCTCTGAGATTTTTGAAGCAAGAAAGGGACAAAATAACCTTAGAATAAATCAAATGATCATACTTCTTTATAAAATATCAGTTAAGCATCAATAAATTATATCGAGCTGGCTTATAAAAATAAGGGAAATAATCTATTCAAATCTTTTCCTAATTGTGGATACTCTGTGATCAGACTGTTCAGAAAGATTTTTCAACTAAGTGAAAAAAAATAATAAATCACTTTTTCTTTTTAAGGAAAATCACGATCACTTTGAAACTAACACAGTGACATAGTCTAAAATATAAGTGACCTATTTATTAATATGTAAGCTTAGAGTGTGTTTCAGAATTGATCTTACATGTTGGTTATATGGAGTAATGATATGAGGAATAGGTCTCAAACATCATTATAGATCAGAAAAAAAAAAAAAGTCCAAGATCCAAAGCCCACAAATACTGTTTTAGGTAATAATAATTTTTAAAAAGTCTTTCTCTGGCTATGATAAGAAGTTAAGATTTAATACCACTTGTTTATGAACAAATATAAAATTGTTTATTAGAGAGAAAAATATTTGAATACTTCTTACAAAATAACTCTTGAGTAATTAAGCAAAACTGAGAAGTTGTATGGGTAGTCTAATCACCTGCTTTGTTTGGACAAGAAGTTTGCAATAACCTGCACACTTGAAAAAATATTTAAACACAGTCATTTGAAAGTTGTTTATTCTATTTTCTGCTTAGTTAAATACCAGGCACTTTTCTCTGACACTGAGATCTAAAAAGTGTAAAATTTGATTACTGACCTTGTATAGATTCATACCAAATAGAGATCAGATAAATACAAAATTTCTAACATTAAAAAAATAATGTATGGTAATTAAAATGATAGAGTATTATGATACACATGTACACTTCCCTGCCTGCCCCAAACATACACAACTGAACGGAAAGATCAAAGAGTCTCACAGAGTGCATGCGAACTGAGATGGGTCTGGAAGGATGAAAAACTTTTCACAGGAGAACATAATGAAGTGGGCAAAGATATGAAGCCATAAAATAAGTGATGCATTTGCGAGTTTGGCTGTATCAGGGAGAACCAAGAAAGGAGTATTGGGGCTAGCTGCTGAAGACAGATGCCCTTGCCCAGCACACTTTATTTTGTGAGCATTGTAGAGGCATATATGGTATAAAAACAAGAGACTTAGTCAGATCCTAATTCTCAAAGGAGTGGTCAGTGATGTTTGGAGAAATATTGTACACATGAAATAATTCAAGAATAGTATTAAGCTTAAATAATATGAAGTACTGCCAAGTTCTATATTTCAGGAATGGAAAGAAACATATTGCAAACAAAGGGAACGGGGCTAACACAATCAGGGTAGTGAGCTAACTGGTTACCCTAGACCAGTTAAAATACAGGATTTCCAAAAGGGAGAAATGGGAAATGAGGATAGAAAGATGAGAGAAGGCAAGACTGTAAAAGGCTTTGAATAACAGGGTCAAGAGTTGGGGGCCTTTTTAATGTCCGATATGGACTCAAACAAGATTGTGTCTGCCATACAGTGGACACAGGAGACACAGATTCAACCCCTGGGTTGGGAAGATTCCCTGGAGGAGGATATGGCAACCTGCTCCAGTATTCTTGCTGGAAAAATCCTATGGACATAGTAGGCTGGTGAGCTACGGTCCATGGGGTCGCAGAGACTCGGACACAAGTGAATCGGCTGAGCACAGCGCAGCAGCGGGGCCTCACTAAAGACTTCTGAGCAGAGAAGCCGGGAATGACAGAATCAGATCTTCACAAGGGACGGTGAAGGATATTACAAAGGGAAAAGGTTGTCAGCAGGAGGAAGTTACAGTGTTACTGTAATCGTTCCAGCAGCGGGTTATGAGATCCAGGATATACTGGCAGAAAAAAAACGTGGCAGTGTCCTCCTGTGAGTACATTCCATCTGAGGACCACAGCTGGTGGATTTGAGAGTTAGCTTTGAAAAGAGAGGGGGATACAAAATTAAGTTAAAGGGGACCAGAGAAGTTTGGATATAGTGGAGCAAGTATTCACTGAAGTTCTTAGCAAAGGAGTGATTAAAAAACACCTCATGAACTTCTATCACAATCATTTCCTGATCACCAGCTTGCTTCATTATCAAGTCTCTAACCCAAGCTGTTTTGTTTGGATATGTTTTGATCTAACATCCTGTATTGTTACTAAAAGGACAAGATTATGAATTCCTCCTGGCTTGATGTTCTACCATAAATCAAATTTAGAAATCATATAAATGCTAAAAGTATGTGAAGGTTTGTTTTGGACATTAATCTCACATTTTTACTGGCTACCTGGGGAATAAGAGGAATTAACATTGATAAACTTATTCTGTAGGTGAAAGTACTCACTGAATTATATAAAAGTTCCTTGCTTGTCCTAAAATTAAAAGTATTCTTTGCAAATGGCATAGTAGGCATACACGGACATTACTGTGATCTAATTAAAACATATAATTGGAAGAGGGGTAAAAATACCTAGCTTATCAGTATTAATTTAATTCTGTTGGTGGTGAAAATATTTCTGACTTAAAACAGCACTTGTCATTTGATTTCATTAGGGAGATTAGTAAAGTAAAAGTGATTCACCATGATGAAAAGAATTAAATCAAAAGCAAGGTTAAAACATAATTATAATAGAAAAAATTCTCACAAATAAATGGCATGCCCTCTGAAATTTATTTGCAGGAAATGAAAGCAGAAGCAAAGCTCACATGCAGCTCCTCACATAACTATATCTATACAACTGCTTGTCCATGTATTTTTCAAATCTTAACATTGACAATCTTTCAACAGCAACTAATTTTGTAGAAACATAAAGATTCCTAGTAATAGACAAAGCTGTATTATTAAGCATTATAAGCAGCCCAAACATTAATATAATTTACATCATTAAAGGCTAACAAAATAAAACTGTGACTAAATTAACACTGACTCATCCATTATACAGCAATTGCTAAATAACTGTAAAATAAATTAAGTTCTGTTCATTACTACTGCAATTTTCTATCCACTTCCATGTTTATCTACATTTATCTAAAAAGAATGGGAAACCTAATACTTACCAAAATGGTGGTAACGATCAAAGAACGATTGGATAAGGAATCTGTGATGTTGGCTGGCTTTCCCTTTTGACTTTCTGTCATATTCAGGCCACTGGCTGGATCCCAAGTTCCAATCTATAAAACAGCATATGTACTTTGTAAATCATCCATCAGACACCTGGAGAGAGCACTGCAGAGAAAGTTAAGGCTGCTAACACTTATTATCCACCTCTGCTACATTATCTGCTGTTGCTGAAGTAAAGGCTGCTTGTTTTAAGCATGATTCACTGCTTTGGGAAGTGTGTCCAGTGAAGTGTGACATTAAAGAACAAAATGATCCATTGCACTTCTACAGTCAGTGTGGGAGCTTAATTTTCCATTCAAACTTTCATTCACCAAGATAAACCACAGTTGATGATACCTTGCTAGTTGGCTGGAAACTCATTAACAGCATATATCTTTTATAGTAATAGATCTATCTTATCCTCTCATTACAATGGTAACATGCCATATTATATGGGCAAAGCTAAAAAAGCAAAACCTGGGGATCCAGGATAAATTAATAGGTAAAGGCAACTTAAAAGGGGCATTAATTTGTATTCACAGCACTCCCAATAAGGTGAAATCATACCCCAAATTACCTCTGCAAGTTTTAAAAATATACCTTTGAAGCTTTCAAAATATTCCAAGAAAAGAGATTACAGCAAAATCTCATCTGGATAACCTATTCTAATACTACGACTTTCATCCTGTTCATTGTGTATTTTAACTATTAGGTTGTTGCAAAAGTAACTGTGGTTTTGGACCATGAATTTTAAATCATTATAACAGGTTCACACACATCTTTAATAATCAAAATAGGAACCATTACAATCAACATATTTTTGCCAACAATATGTTGGTTTATTCCTGTAACATAAAAATCCATGCTTCAGAATTCTATGAATTCTTGGAAAGCATTTTCAACCTCTGGCTCATTGTGGAAGCATTTTTCCTGCAAAAACTTGTTGAGGTGCTTGAAGAAGTGGTAGTCAGTTGGCAAGATGCCTGGTGAATATGGTGGATGAGGCAAAACTTCATAGCCCAGTTCATTCAACTTTTGAAGCATTGGTTATAAGATGTGCGGTCAGGCCTTGTGGAGAATTGGGCCCTTTCTGTTGACCAATGCTGGCTACAGGTGTGGTTTTTGGTGCATTTCATCCATCTGCTGAGCATACTTCTCAGATGTAATGGTTTCCCTGGGATTCAGAAAGCTGCAGTGGATGAGATTGGCAGCAAACCACTGAACAGTGACCATGACCTTTTTTTGGTGCAAATTTGGCTTTGGGAAGTGCTTTGGAGCTCCCTCTCAGTCCAGTCACTGAGCTGGTCATTGTGGGTTGTTGTATAAAATCCACTTTTTGCTGCATGCCACAATCCGATCAAGAAATGGTTCATTGTTGTTGCACAGAATAAGATAAGACAACACTTCAAAATGATGATTTTCTTTTCTTTTTTTTTTTTGGCCAGCTCCTGAGGCACCCACTTATCAATCTTTCCAATCTGCCTCAAATGCCGAATAACCACAGAATGGTCAAAGTTGAGTTCTTCTGCAATTTCTCGTGTAGTTGTAAGAGGATCAGCCTTCAATGATCGCTCTCAGTTGGTCATTGTCAACTTCTGATGGCCAGCCACTGCACTCCTCACCTTCAAGGCTCTCGTCTCCTTTGCAAACTTCTTGAGCCATCACTGCACTGCAATACTGCACCTAATATTAATAATACCCTCTGAAAGATTAAGTCAAATGCTGTGTCCAGACATATTACACTCAGTGAACGCAGTTTATAGAATGACCTCTGGAGATACAGATAAGCATAAGATACGAGTGGATACGCAGATCGAGTGGTTTACATACACGCACCTGTACCATTGCATGCCATGAACAATGGTGACCACTAAACAGAAGCAGAAGCAATGGAGACACACAGTCAGTGTCTTAGTCAGCATTAACTGCTCCTCATCCTCTCAAACCTGGGAGTCACCAGTAGTGAAACTTGTCTTTCTTATGTCCCTAGCCAATTATGCAAACAAAAGTATAAATTATTATTTTAACATAAAATTTTGTACATAAAAAGCTTTCTCAATTACAGGTGAACCCATCGTAAGTTGAAAATATTGTTAAGTCAAAAATGCATTCAGTATACCAACCTACCAAACACCCTAGCTTAGCCCAGCCTATCTTAAACATGCTCAGAACACTTATATTAGCCTACAGTTCGGCAAAATCATCTGACAGAAACCCTATTTATATAAAGTGCTGAATAGATCATGCACCTTACAGAATACGGTATTGAAAGTGAAAAACACACTGGTTGTATGTCCAACAGGATGGTTGTAATGGACTGGTTGGTTACCCCAGTGATGGAGTGGCTGACTGGGAGCTGCGGCTCAATGAGCTGCCAGCATTACAAGAAACTGTCATACTACGTATCACCTGCTCAGGAAAAAAGTCAAAATTCGAAGTATGGTCTCTACTGAATATGCATCACTTTTGCACTATCACCATTATAAAGCTGAAAAATCATAAGTTGGGACCTGCCTGTAAATTAAATTATTTTGAAAGTGACATTGATTTGAAAGTGAAAGTGAAAGTCACTCAGTCATGTCCAACTCTTTGGGACCACATGGACTATAGAGTCCACAGAATTCTTCAGGCCAGAATGCTGAAGTGCGTAGCCTTTCCCTTCTCCAGGGGATCTTCGTAACCCAGGGATCAAACCCAAGTCGGCATTGCAGGCAGATTTTTTACCAGATGAACCACCTATCTAAATATGCTAACAAAGATCTCACTGGTTTAAATCCAAATTAAATGTTATAATCTTTTCTATTTTCTTTACATTATACCATATGTGCTCTTTTTGATCTCTCCATTTGCATAGCTTTATCAGTAACTTTTTAAGGTATCTATCTTCCTTTAATTGGAGTAGTACAAAAGTAGACATGTTAACAATTTCTGTTCCTCAAAAGAACAGATGTCAGTCTAATAGTTGTATATAAATGTAGACTCCTGTGTATTTTTTTTCAATAACTCATTTGAGGATTCAATGTAAATGTATTTAATAATGTAAAAAAAAATCTTGTCATATTTCTAATATTTAATTTTCTTCTTACCACCTAATATGATATATTTCTGATATTTTTGTCAATAAAACAAAAATGTCAAAAAATATAGTAAGGGGAAAAAAGAAAACAATCTTTATTCAGCATTCTTTCCAAGTAAATTACATACTGGGCAATTAAATTACTTTAAGACTGTGACTATCTTGATGTCATAAAGAGACTAATTACAATTTCGATTCAATAATGAAAGGTTTTCAGGGGCCAGACAGGTAACATCAATGTGTAAAGTGAAAGGGCATAAGCCAGTAGTTAAGAATTCCTAGGCTAAAATGTGCAGTTTTTAAATCTCAAAAAAATCTCAAGGCAGAAAAGCAACTGGGGTCCATTAACCCAACCTGTTCTGCTCTGTGCCTTGGGCTGCACACCCAGAATAAGTACTTTTTTCAAATCTCTAGCAAGGCATCACCAGAGTTAGTAGAGGCCCTGCTGAGAACCTGGGTGGACAGAAGGGATGTCAAACCTAGAACTCCTGCTTACCTGCTTAAATTGTTTCAAATTCAAAATCACTAAAAAAAAAAAAAAAAGAAAGAAAACAAACCCAAACAAAAATGCCCTGTTGGCTAAATAGACATCTGCAGACTGTATTTTGCAGTGACTGGGACTTTTCTGACCCTGATCTATGATTAATACCTATTACACATTTGTCCCTTAGATTCAATTGTCTTTTTCTTTCCCCACTATTGGCTAAATAGTTAGATTTTTTCAGACATATAATTCTGTAGCAAAACGCTGGCAGGCATCATTTGCCCAGTGTCATCTGCCTAATGACAAGTTTGACCACTAAGTTTTTCAACTTTCTAACCAAATCACTAATACAAAATATTGTCCATTTCACTTCCTGTTATCTTCCATGATTACACTTAGAAAAAATAAGTTAGCTAAATGTTTACTCATCTAAACCTACTAATCTAGGTTCATTTTCTGTTGACTGTTTTTCTAGCACTCTTTGGATGAAGGGGTTCTGGCTCATGAATCCATAATTACCTATAATCACAAATATTAGGTATCCCTCTTTATAAGTCTCAGGTTTCTGCACAGGATATTAGAAAATTTCAGAAATTTCAGTGGCATAACAATTTAAATCAAATAAAATTTTGTATGATTCCCTGATTTTTAAGTCTCTTAGAACTGTATGATTCTAAAATTCCTATTGATTGCAGAAATTGCCACCAGTGGCGTTTTTTGTTTTGTTTTAATCACAAGATTTAGACTATGGAATAAATCAAGACAATCTCTTTTCTTGCAATCTATTTTCAGAACCATAATTTTTTCATTATATTATTCAATCAAGTCATTTAACCTTATTTTCAATTTCAAAATGTAAGAAAGATATCTAAGTACTCTTGACCTCAAAGAGTTATGTTAAATCGAGTGAGTCTATCTGCTGGTTTACTTGAATACTTCAAGTTTATAATTATCTTCCTGGTATAGCAACCCTCTCGTACAATTTTAAATGTCATGGTTTGGATAAGTCATAAGATCATTTTACTTATAAGCATAAAATTAGATAAAAGTAATACAAAAGTACTTCAAAAATCACAAAGAACAATAGAAAGTCATGGTATTACTCATTTTTCTGTTTTATGATCTGAACAGTTCTTAAATTTGCTCTTCTTCATGAAAAGAATGCATATTATTGATATCAAATTATAAAACATACAAACAAATAGAAAGGAGAACATCAGTTTAAACTTTGAAGCTAAGCACATACCCATATCAATCACAGCTAATGAGTTAATGTATTTTCTTTAATTCTTTTATCTTTACATGTATTTTCCTTACATAATTTCCAACATAAGTCTTGTAGGTAACGTCCCAGACTCGGAAGGGTGTGTCAGATCACCAGGATCCTACTACATCTCCACAACTTATCATCAGGGGACTGGGGCACATTACTTCTCTCCAACTCAATTTCCTCATCTATAAATGGGGAAATAATTTTGTCTACCTCAAAGAGCTATTGTGAGGATCAAGTG